ATCCTGTTCTCTTCATTCTCCCTTGCTCCCGAAGGGGTGAGACCAGTGGAGTATCTTAGATGGCTGCTCACAGGCTTTTAAGACCCCAGATGCTACTCAACCAGGGAAGAATGTAGAACATTGTCTTTATAAACTGTGTCATGCCAGTTGAGCTAGATGTTCCCCCGAGAGCATGGTCCCCACAGCCCTCCGCCCAGCAGTTCAGTCCGTCAAGGAGTTTGGATGTGTCTATGGAGCTTCCATGACCTTTTCCTTGTACAAGTTGTGTTGGTTTCCCCAGTATTGTGTACTGTCTCACCCTTCACCAAAGATACCACTTATCTATTGCCTATTTAGTATTCCCCACCCCCACCGCTCCCAACCCTCATAACCAACAAAGATTGTTACTTTTGTGTATAAACTTTTTCATGAGTTTTTACAATAGAGGTCTCATACAATATCTGTCCTTTTGTGATTGACTTATTTCACTCAGCATAATGTCCTCCAGTTTCATCCATGTTATGAGCTGCTTCACAAATTCATTGTTCTTTATCATTGCATAATTCTCCATTGTGTGTATGTACCATAGTTTGTTTATCCATTCATCTGTTGATGGGCATCTAGGTTGTTTCCATCGTTTTGCTGTCGTGCCTTATTCCTTTTTAAAGGTGTTTACAGTAAATAGTGATACCTGTTGAGTTATGTTTAAATATACTATGTCTTATTTATTTGAATAATATGTTGCTACACTAAAATCATATACTACCATAGTTATAGGTAAATCAAATGTGTTTTAATAATTGATGATTTTTAAAGGGTAACTAAAACAAGTTTTAAAAGTTAGACACATTTATGGTGAATACAGTATTTAGTACACAGGGAGACGGTGCTCTTTTTATTGGCATGGAGTTGGGAAATGATATAAACTTTCAAAGGAACCGTAATATATTCTCACCACTTTAAGTTTTAATTTTACTTTCAGTTGAAAATCGAGTTCGTCCGTTAGTACTGGTGATTAAGAAGTGGGCGAGTCACCATGAGATAAACGATGCCAGTCGTGGTACTTTAAGCAGCTATAGTCTTGTTTTGATGGTTTTACACTATTTACAAAGTAAGTATCATGAGTTTTTTTTTTTCTTAGTTTTTAAAATTGAAATGCACTTAAACTTCACTGTGGTATCTTTCCTGTTGACCATGTGTTTAGATAGCATTATTTAAAAAAAATTTTTCTGAGGCTTGTGTATCCCATTTTGTTGCTTTGAACAAATGTTTTTGAAATGTTATTCCCTGGAAAATATAAAATTTCACTGTGTTCTTATTTTTGACAATTTTTTTCTGTAGCCACTTTTGTATTGAAAGAATTTTCACCAGTATATTGTGGATTCATTATCTCGAGCAGATGAATGTTCAGAAGGCCTATAAAAATAAGCTCAACACCATTCATTGCATTTTTTATTTTTCATTTTCATTTGAGACAGGAATAAAATGATTTTCTTTCTGATCAAAGAAGCTTTTTATTTCCTACGTAACCAAAATAATTTAGCTTTTGATTTGAGGGTGAGCTAGCCTCTCCAACTAGATTTTATCCTTATAGGACTGTTGTGTCACATTGGCCCCAAATTTTAATTCAGTCCAACTAGCCATTGTTTATTAGACCGTTCTGATAAAAACCAATACTTTTTCATATTGTGGGAAATAGTAGTAAGTGAACACTTACTTGTAATTTGTGCAGTTCAAGGATAGGTATGTGGGAATTTTTACAAGTATTGAAAATTCCCCGGAAATATAGGGCTGGCTGACCAGATCCAATTGAAACCTTTACTTCTAATACATATTTCAGATTTAACAATCTTACGTACTGTATTTTGACGCAAATAACATGCTCCTACGTTTGTTTGCTGACCACTTCCTCCCCCCATGAGGTATTTTCCTAAGCACACAACGCTAAATTTTTTTGACAGCAACCTGTAAAAAAAAATTGGAATAGTGACGCTTCTGAAGATACCTAGTAGGGGGAGGGAGCTGTTGGCACAGATATAGAAGATGTTTGTTATTTGCGTAAAAATACGGTAGATAAAAATCCAAGAAATAGTAATTAGGCCACTTTACACATTCTGCTCAGCTGGACAATAAGAGTTGTTAAAGATGGCTGCATGCTGTTTTGTAGTTATTAGATTAGGAGTCTGAGATGTTTAATGACTGACTGATCGACTAAACATATGAATATCTGGTGGCAAGCAGATCAGGTGAAAAACTTGATGTTAATGTAGTAAAAGAGTATTTACCAGGAAGTCTAGGGCCTGCTCTATTCTGGTTAATATTTTCAGAGTGTAGAATCTTGCTTTCCAAAGGTTACAATAATAGATAAGACATGTTTTAGCATATAATACTCATTTCATGAGTATTTGTTGAGTAACTACTAAATAAATGCCAGGCATTCTTCTAGGATCTAGAGATCCAGCAGTGAACAAAATAAGAAAAACAATGATTTTCTTCATGGAGCTTACATTTAGAATTTAACATTTTAGCACCTGTTAACTTGCCTAAACGTTTGAGTTATTAGGAACTGTCACAACTTAACAGGTCACTAATGAGATTGTGATGTCAATGTGATCTTTTTTATCACGACTGTGTGAATTGGGCTGCTGTGTAACAAATTAATTATTACAATGCAGTGATTTAAAATAATGGACACCTATTTTTAAAATATCCTTTTATTGCATTGTTGTTGCTTTTTGTGTTTAGACTCTGAGAGAGATAACGAAGACAGTATTAGCAATTTTGTCAAAGGAAGCAGAAAAATCAAGTGGTCGAAAGTTGAGGCAATTTGTTTCCCTTATAGCAGCATTTTCATACTGAGAATATTGGGAACTGGAAAAAGGAGGGGACACATTTTCCTTGGTAGATGTATCAGAAATGATCAGTGTTGGGGGATATAATTTCTAAGAGACTATGCTTTTCTGAATAGAGATTGGAGGATGATCCCCAAATTAGGATATCTTCAATAGTGAGTCACTTTTACTAATAGGAGGATGGAAGTGGTTGGGGACAGAAGCAACTATTGTCATATCAGTGGCTTAAAAAAGAATGATTCAGTGGTGAGAGGGGTGTGTCAGGAATTTTCAAAGATCTGGCTTAGCATAAGCGATTAATCATTGAACAAAATATTTCTCAATTATTCAGCCTCAGCATTTTGATTCAGTAGAAGCAATGAATAAGACACCTGGTCACACATTCAATTTTGCCTTTTTGTTTCAGAATTACTATATTTAAAATGATAATTAAACCATAGTGATATTAAAATATAATTATATTACATTTTTAAAGTCATTTTGAATAAGTCATGCACATACATTATAGACAATCTGGAAAATATACTAAAGTAGGAAAAAAAATAAAACAAGTTACCTATATTTCTACCACCCGGAGTCTGTTACTGTTAATATATATTTTATTTTTCCCAACTTTTGTTTACTTTGCAAGGGTTTCAAAATTTGTATCTAGCTAAACATTAAATGCCAAGTTTAATTTTTTTTAATTCCAACTATTTTGACAAATGAATAACTGTAATGCGTGTTATTTCCCTCTGTAAAAACATGATTTTCTTAAATAGATGGAGTTCTTACATTTTCTTTTATCTGTGCTCTATGACATTGTTAAGGAGCCCTCATGGTGCAACAGTTAAGCTGGTGGCTGCTAACCAAAAGGTCCACGGTTAGAACCCACCAGATGCTCTGTGGGAAGAACATGGGGCAGTCTGCTTCCTTAAAGATTATAACCTTGGAAACCCTACTGGGTAGTTCAGCTCTGCCCTATAAGGTCCCTATGAGTTGGAATGGACTCAACAGCACAGGTTTGACATTGATAATAGAACCTTGGTGGTGCAGTAGTTAAGCTCTAGGCTGGTAATGAAAAGTTGGCAGTTTGAACTCACCCAGCTGCTCCACAGGTGAAAGACCTGGTGATCTGATTCCACAAAGATTACAGCCTAGAATACCCTGTGGGGCAGTTCTGCTCTGTCATGTGGGGTCACTGTTAGTCGAAATAGACTCAGCGACACCTAACAATGGCAACATGATGTTGATTCCCAGACTTTTAGATTCATGGAATAGTAAAATTTCAAAAAAGGAACTAATCTAGAGTTTAGTTTTTTGTTGTTATTTTTGCTATGTTAAGTATCAAAACCAAAAAACTACTAATGGCTACTACCGTAATTTCTTAAAAGATGGTGCATATTAACATCAAAAAACAGGAAGGGTAGAATCTCAGAATAAAGGACAGACCATCTCAAAACAGTATAATTGCTACCCCCTTATGAACTCCTGACACACATAAAATTATTTTTATTTTCTAAGTTTATCACAGTTCAGGAACATTCCTCTGTGATAGGAAATTTTGGGACTTTTTTTAAATATTTAACTCAAATAGAGTAGACTTAGACTGATTTCTGAACAAAACCTTAATTCTGTCTTCAGGTACATCTTCAGCTCATCTTTGGAGATAAGGTGTAGTCATTTGGGCAAGTGTTTATGCTAATGGTCTTAATTTTCATAGGATGTCAGACATAGCCTCTCCTTGGATATCAAAGCATGTAGTATACTCTTAGCCTAAATTTCTGCATTCTAGATTCTTGGCAGAGAATATAATCTTGAACTCTCTATTCCCAATCAAAAGTTTACTTACAAAAATATGTATGTGATGTATTACAAATGTAGGATTAATAATCTTAAGTTGGCAGAAGTTTTAAAAAATAACAGTACGCAATCACAATCATGCTTCTGGTGAGAGTATCAATTTGGTACAATTCTTCTAGAAAGCCATGTTGTAATTAGTATGTATGCTCATACTCTTTGACTCCATGATTCCATTTCTAGGAATTTATCCTTAGATAATAATTAGGGATGCATGTATGAAGTTATATATAAGGCTGTTTATCAGTGTTCGTTAAAATAAAAGATTAGAAATGCTTAGGTTTTCAAAAATAGAGGGAATGGTTGAATTAAGTATGATATAGTATGAAATTTATGCAGACACTAATAATCATGTTTTAAAGGTATTTAATAGTATAAGTACTCAGGTAACTCATATACAATGTAATACCAATTTTAATAAAAAAATAGTAACTACATATTTGCGTTTGTGTATCTATTTGTATGTGTACAAATACTGAAAAGATATATACCACAATTTTATCAGGTGTTATTTATGGACAGTGGAATTTGTTTTTAATACTTCTAGATATTATGTGTTAAATAAGAGATTATATTTTTATTTGAATGGTGGAATCAGATGAATTTGTTTTAGTTATCAACAGAGACTTAGTTCAGATTGGCCAAAGTTTTATGAATCAGGGATCAGAAAGATGTGATAATCTGCCTCTTTGTTGAAAACTTTAGTATGTCGCTAATTATTTTTATCCAGTTTTACAGTACACATATTATTAAATTACTTAATATATGTTATATTATACAGTAATGTGTATTATTGATGCTTTTTAGTGAACTCTGTCTTCTTGTGGATTGCAGTTCACTTGAATATATGAGAAAGAATACTTACAAAATAAATGTAAGATGTAAAGAATAATTCGACAAACACTCATACAGCACTGTCTAGTGTTTATTCACTTTTTAGTTTTAGTAGTAACTTAAAAATTAGATTTAACTAAAGCATTTAACATCCATCAATATGCCCAGTGTCCCCACTTACTGTTACATTAAACATTTTAATTTGATTGCCTCTTTATAAAAATGTACTGTAATAACAGATACCCTAATGTGATTTTGCAAGCAACTTGAAAATCCAAACATTGGTATGTTGCCAGTGTTATAAAATCATGTTAAAATTTAGTCTAGATTTTGTTAAAAGTGTTTTATTCTTGGGAAAGTGGACCCTTTCTGCTGAAGTGATTTGTAATTAACATCGCTATTTTCAGCCATTTCTAGGTCTTTGTTAAGGGACATCAGCTAGACAAAGCTCATGTGTAACTCTATACTTCGAAAATTTAAGCTACAGTGGTCCCCCCTTGATTGCAGGGGATATGTTACAAGACCTCTGATGGATGCCTGAAACCGTGGATAGTACCTATATATACTATGATTTGTCCTATACATACATACATACCTATGATAAAGATTAATTTATAAATTAGGCACAATAAGAGATTAACAATGATAACTAATAATAAAGCAGAACAGTTATAACAGTATACTGTAGTAAAAGTTACGTAAATGATGGAGCAGACGGCATGAGATTTCATCATGCTCTGCACTCATTTAACATTTTAGAACCACAGTTGGCAGTGGGTAACTGAAACCGCAGAAGGAGAAACCAAGGATAAGGGGGTGCTGCTGATATTCCTCCCTAGAAGAAATTAGAAAGGAAATTAAAAAAAAAAACCAAACACTTTGCCATCGAGTGAATTCTGACTCATAGCGACCCTATAGGGCAGGTAGAACTGCCCTGTAAGGTTTCCAAGGAGCGGCAGGTAGATTCAAACTACTGACCTTCTGGTTACCAGCTGAGCTCTTAACCATTGTGCCAGAAAGGCACATTGTGCACCAGAAAAGAAATAGGTGGTTGCTTTTCTAGACAGTATCAAATTACAGTAATGGGCCTAAAAGAGTCTGCAAGGTGTGTTGAGCAGTTCCAGCTCTGCCACAAAGAACTAATTTTTGTGATTTTGGTCAAGTCATTGCACCTCTGTGGCCTTAATATTCTCATCTGTTAACATGAATAGTTAGATTAGATGGGCTTTAAATTTCGTTAAACCTTTTAAATGCTGTAATATGTTTTCTGCCATGAACAGAGAAGTGAAACAGGTCCTCTGTATGTAGAAAGATTGAAAAATAAAGCATTTCCTAGGATGAAATGCAGCAGTTTATAATAAGACTACTTATGCTTGAAAAGATGACTGTTGAGAGCATGACAGGGAAAACCCACTGGGAAGAGATTTTAATGAGAATCTAAGATTAGGAGTTAATGATAAAGGCAAAATTATAGTTAGAAATAATTGAATGAATATTCACGAATGTTTACATGTTACCGGGTACAGAACTATCCCTTAGGCAGTTTAAGGTTGTTCCTGCATTTTCAAAATTAATGGTTTCATAGTGTTGTTGAAGATCACCAGTTTTAATATTTGAACTTTTGATAAATCAATATGGTAATTTTATGGGTATAGATTTGTTGTAGGTGCCTGACTTGAAAGCCCCCATCTGGACTGCAGGCAAAGCAAAACTTTGCAGATTAGCAATACTTGAAACATTACCTGTTGATCATATATTGCAGTAGTAAGGCTTTTTTGTTTTGTTCTGTCTTTAACAGAAAAATTAAAAGGTTGAATCTATAGTCAAATTTTGAAGTCAAAAATCAATAAACTAAGCTCTTTCAGGGTACTATCAGGATACTGTTAATAAATAACTCCCACAATACACCAATTGCTTCTCTTATGACCAGTGTTTATAAATCTCTAAGGTTGTAAGACAAGGAATTTACTGAATGATAACCCATGCCCCCCAAAATTTCCAAATTGCCTACTTCTGGAGACTCTCTTGTCTCATGAAAGACCCTAACTCAGTTGTTAGTATTAATTTTTCTCTCCTAGCAATTCTAGTTATGTTTCTAGAATGAAATAAATAGTTTAATTCTAATTCTCTACAATCCTTTCCTCATCCTTTGTTTTATTATAGTTTTAATTTACTGGGGTATTCCGTGGGAAAGGAATTCATATTTTTAAGTTAACCAATTTCAAGTAAGATTTTCCAGTTTGACTTTATATTATAACCAAAATTATTTAAAAACCACTCAAAAATCTTACGAAAATATACACTTAGAATTGGAGTGACTGGGGCTTGAGATTATTTGTGGGGTCTTCTAGAATTTTGAGCCTTTGAATGCCTCTGGTGGGGTGGGGATATACCCTTACTTCCTAAGAATTATTCTGGTAAGTAATGAGTGTTTTCCCGTAATCTCGGTTATACACTGTGACTACCCAGACTATCATGGAATTTTATTTTACTCCAATTTTCAACTTGGGAATGAAGCATCACACAGAAGAGAAATTTAAATGAAGCGTCCGGCTTTGCACTCTATGGAAGAAATTTTGTATTTCTAATCATAGTTGGAGTCTGTGTAAGTTGGTCATAATGGTTGATTACATGTACTGTATTTTTGCAAATAATGTGCCACACAAATAATGCACGACTATACACATACATGTAATGCACAGCTCATTTAGGAAATAGCAGGTTTGAGCAGTTGGCAAAAAACAACAACTGTATAACACGTGCTATTTGCTTAAAAATACAGTACGTTAATATATTCCAGAAGTCACTTTAAAAAGTTTTTGCTAAATAGCAAATTAAAAGTGAATAAAATTAAAGATTCTTTATTACTGAGTTTATCTACTTCTATATATATTTTTAATTCTTAAATACAGAGTTTATCATATTTGATCTCTAATCTTAAAGAAATCTTAAAAATATATTATTTGTGTCCTCCCATACTCAAGACATTCTATTTTACAGTCATTTCTATATTGTGAATATTAAGCACTTTGCTTTTTGTATTAACTCCATAACATTATAATGGTGTGCAATTACTGTTAATGCATTTAATAAAGTAGTAGTTGCATTAACTACTGAAGGATGAAGAGTGATATTAAAAAATATAGTGGTAAGTATGATGGTAATGATTGCTTTGTATGAAATTTAATTTACTTTATAGCAGATTGGTGCAAATCTCCTGATTTAGATTTCTAAATGAAGTTGACGCTTTTTTTCTTAATACAAGTTTCCTGGAACTGTATCAATTTTGGTATTATTGTTTAATAGTAGCAAAAATTAAATATGCAAGAGGGCAACTGTGATAGAACTGTTGTTCTTTTATTATATAGTATCATTGGACTATAGTTTTTAAATTTTTTTTTTATAACTACATAGTATTTTAACAATGTCCTTCAATACCTGTAGAACAATCCTTGGCTTGCTTATTTTATGTGTGTGTCTGATATTAGACCAAACGATGTATGTCCCTTTAGAGATGGCCTATCCTAAAACCATGTAAAGAACATTGGTTTACATAGGAATATACATAGTTTACTAACAAAACCTTAAATTGTCAACTGAGATATATTTTAAACTTAAAGTATTAGGGAACAGAATTAATTTCATAAAGTGTATGAAAACTTAAATTTTAGCATAAACTCTAATATTAGCTAGGGTGTAACTGACAGATTATTGCTTTGTAAATGAATCGTGAATCATGGAAACTTGAAACTTTTTCTTTTTGTAGCCCTACCTGAACCCATCCTTCCATCCCTCCAAAAAACTTACCCAGTAAGTGTTTTTTATAAATTATTATATATTATGTCAAGTATATATAGAACTATTATATGCAGTGTTAATGTGAATATAAAAGTAGTAATAGTTACCTTCTAAGTAAAAGATAACGTTTTCTATATTGGTTGAGGCATTGGCCACTAGAATGTTCAAGATGTTTTACATAATTTTTCAGTAAACTAATATTTTATTTGGTTATTGGCATCCAGTCTGGTCAGTATGTTAATGATGAAATCTTTTGCATGGTGCTCATGATTATCACTAGTGGAGATTAAGTATATTCAGTTGGTCAAAGCCTATTTGGTCCTATTCCAGTTTTCTTCATTATATTTCAATAGCATTTTTATAGCATTTCATTAGTTGGTTGAATTTTTCTAGCCCAATGAATTTATATTTTGAAAAGTAGGAAAAAAATTTAAGAAGTTGAACAATTGGATAACCTTTTGTCTTTCATTTGATCTTACCAAGTAATACACCAATAGAGATAATATTGGTCAACTGTTCTTGTGTGCATAATATGAAGGATTCTGCTGAAAGTAATTGGAGACATTTGAGAAATGAAGTGTGCCTACTAGAAAAAGTTTAATATGTACTCAGTTTGAGTTTAGAGAAACCTAGGTAATTTGCATAGTTAATAATCTTTTTGTTTCTTTTCCAGTTTTCTTGTGTTCTTTTCCAGAATTCTCTGTATCCTTCTTTTATAGTCCTATCATTTCTCTGTTTTCTTTCATAGTTTTCTTGTTCCTGGTTTTATTTGGAAATAATATTTAAGCTATTTAGAATGTTTGATCAATCTTCTAAAAACCACATCATTTTTACCTGTTTGTTTTATATACTTACGAGAAGAGCTGATTTCTAACCATAATAGATTGTACATCACTAGGGAAAACATAATATCCAGCTTAGGTGGACTTTCAAAGAATTTATTTATTTTATATGCACCACACAGAAAACTATACATATACTTGACATTAAATCTAAATTAAACTTAATTTAATCTCTGACATTTCGAAGAACTAACTGATAGTCTTATGAACATCAGTTATTATTGTGCACAGTGTGAGGTGCTGGCTAACGGGATTCATTAATACCGTCTTGCGATAGTGAGGGCCTCCCAGTTTGCTTTTGTGACATCTACTAGGAAGAGACCATTTCTAAAAAGCCCTTTTGTAATCTGGATATCTTACCTTCTTCCTTTTTAAAACTAGTTTCTGGCTACATGTGAAAAACTATTATAATGAGTTTCCAGTATAGCTAAGAATCAGTGTTTATGCTCTCATAAACATTATAAAAAATGAAAGTATCGTAAGTATAGAAACAATAGTAACTTGTACTTTTTGAACTTAACTCGTTTCCCCTCCTCCATAAACTATTGATTTTTCAAGCTCATGCTGAAAGAGTGTAGATAGTACCGTGTTTAGTGTTTCATTTTATTGTCCCAACCTTATTTTTCTTTATGACCCAGGTTTCAATGTAGAAAGAGCTGCCTCTATTTTCAGCATATGAAAAAGGATGTGATGGTTGCGCTTATCCTTAAAATAATGTATTATTGTGTATTGAATAAATGCTTCTATAGAAATCTTACTTAAAAACCTATGCTACATGAAACCATTTTATTAACATAAAATACTGATGAAATCTCAGTTTAATGCACTGTGCTTGGGGACAGAGGATATTACTTTTATGATAAGGTGCCCAGGTTCTTACGAACATATTTTGGTCTGAACAGCCTCATTTTCACTTCTGTGTTACGTTTTTCTAATATCTAGCTTGCCCCATGACAGAGCCCTGACTTCTGTTCACATATCCAACCTTTGGCCCTACGTGCTCCATGCCTGTTTCTAGGTTTTGATTTCTCCCTTTTTGTATATGACCATGAAAAGAAGACTTTGGCCAAATTGTGAAGGTCATTCAGCATTTTAGTAGAGTAGGTCTCAGAGCTGTTCAGTTTTAATCTCACAATTGGCAATCTTTTTCTTACGTTATTGAACAGAATAAAAATTTTAAAGGACTTTCAGACAGTTTTAAACTTCAGGTAAGAAACTGACTCTGTCCTATTTCAGCATCAGTTTATAAATTAAATGCTTATTGTGCTAGGTGCTAGTAAGCAAAATTAGTAAGAAGCTTTCAGAGCACAAGCTATTAAACATAACCTACTTTTCCTTTTCATTTGGACTTATACTTTTTGTTTAATTTGCTAGCAAATAATATATAAACTGTTTTAAAAAATGACCTAAGTCCAATTTTACACCTAACAGGTAAGAGACCAAGGAAATTAAAGACAGTGTACCTGTCTTCTTTCTGCCTTCACTCATTATTGCAATTTGTGACTTCTTCCCTATCACTCCTAGTGTTAGACAATTAGGATTTCCACTTGATTCATATAATGTAGTACTACATCTGTTAGAAATGTAAGGAGAAGTCCCAAGTTTAGGAGTGCCATCTTTATGAATCATGGCTGGAATAGAATTTTTCTTCTGAGAAAAAGTTAATCATTTCTTGGTAGTTACAAATTATTGATAGAGGTATAGGTAATGAGGCAAGGGAGGGGATATTTTTATTTTCTTGCTCCTTTGTTTTCACTGATAGTTTTTGAGGACGAGCATTGAATAGATGGACTACCTTTTTTCTGTGTACTACAACTTGTTTTGGAGGCCTGGTGGTACAGTGGTTAAGAGCTCATCTACTAACCAAAAGGTCAGTAGTTTGAGTCCACCAACTGCTCCTTGCAAACCTTATGGGGCAGTTCAACTCTGTCCAGTAGGGTCACTATGAATCGGAATCTACTCGACGGCAACAGGTTTGGTCTTTTTTTTGGACTACTTATTTTGAGAGCCTCTATTTTTCAACCTTGGGGTTATTTGTCGGTTGTCAGGTGCCATCAAGTCGGTTCCGACTCATAGCAACTCTTTGTACAACAGAACGAAACACTGCCTGGTCCTGCACCATTCTTGTAATTGTTATGCTTGAGTCCATTGTTGCAGCCACTGTGTCAGTCCATCTCATTGAGGGTCTTCCTCTTTTTTGCTGACCCTCTACCTTACCAAGCATGATGTCCTTCTCCAGGGACTCATCCTTCCTGATAACATGTCCAAAGTATGTGAGACGAAGTCTCACCATTCTTGCTTCTAAGGAGCATTCTGGCTGTACTGAGTTATTTAGACATTACTAATTAAATTGGTATCTGTAAACCCAAGATTGATCCATTAGATAGTTGGGAGCTTTAACTTTAGTTCTCCTTCTGCTGCCTTAACCACTTGATTTTTTTAAAAAAATTCATTTCTAGTGGCAAAGGGGAAATATAGAAAACCATTATTGATGGCAGTGTGCAGATTACCATAAATATAACAATTATTTTCCAACATATGGACATGTATTACTTGAGAATCATTTAGTATATTTCAGACCCAGCGCTGGCTGCTAATAGAGGAAAGATCAGATATTAAATGCATGGCATACCATAAGTGAAAAGAATAAGTACCCATTAGTATTCTTTCCAGTAAGTGTCTTGTTTGGGCATGGATTGCAGGCAAATGGTATCCTCCTTTATGAATATTGTGGTAAAAGTTTGCTGGAATATTGCTTGCTGGTATATTTTCCATCTCCTTTTCCCTGACACACCACTCTCTTTGTCTTTTCAAGTTTACTTCATGTTGAACATTTATCTTCCTTTCCCTCTAAGCTACAAAATATAAAAACAAAATGAAGGAAAATAAGTCTTGAAATCAGTATAAGCACTGTTCATATATTGAAGTTACTTTTATGGCCTTTGAGAGAAGTTTTAAGTGGCAGTTAGAGAAAGCTCTTACCTTCTGCTTAGTACGGCCTTCATAAAACACAACTCCTCCTTTTAGAAATAATTAAGAAGGAGATACATTTATAAAGAAACCTGTATGTGACTGGGTAGAATTTTAGCATGCATAGCAAGGTTTTATTTATGGGTTAGAAAATCTTTGCTACCAAAGGGATCCATTTGGGTAACTGAATGATATAACCAAGCTGAGGATTAGAATAACTTAGTTTTTCAGGTTCTTTCTGGCCTGCTGCACCACCTGCCTGTCAGTTTTTGTACTATGATGGCTTGGGTGTTGCTAAGATGATGGAAGCTATGCCACCGATACTCCAAATACGAGCAGGGTCACCCATGGTGGACAGATTTCAGCAGAGCTTTCAGACTAAGATAGACTAGGGAAAAAAGGCCTAGTGATCTACTTTTGAAAGTTAGCCGGTGAAAATCCTATAAATCATAACACAATATTGTCTGACTGGGGTAAAACATGCCAATGATTGTGAAGATGGGGTAGGACTGGGCAACATACACAGGGTCGCCGTGAGCTGGAGGTGACTTGTTGGCAGCTAACAACAACAACAGTCTGGCCCATTCCAAACACTGTTGAAGTCTTTAGTGGAAGAAATCTTCAAATTTCCAAATGGCCAACATAAAGAAAATTTCTTTTCTTCAGAGAGCCTTAGATCAGGATTTATAAAGTTCTTTAGTGTGTGTTTTAAATGGCTTTACATTTTTCCCTTTTTCTTTTTGATAGGAATCTTTTAGTCCTGCTATACAGCTGCAGCTTGTACATCAAGCTCCATGTAACATTCCTCCTTACCTCTCAAAGAATGAATCAAATCTTGGAGACCTCTTACTGGGCTTTCTTAAATATTATGCTACAGAGTTTGAGTAAGTGAAACTTTAAATTATATGTATTCGTTTATATATAAGCTAATGCTACAAATTGGGCCAGGAGCTGTATTTGTCAATTGCAGTCCTGTAAATTGACCAGAAATGTGTAGTTTATAAAACTTAGTATCTAACTATTATTAAAAACTAAATAGATACATATCTAGCGAATAAAAAGAACATATAGTTCCGTAAGCCCAGTTTTAGTTGATTTCTGTGGTGGTCTCATTTTATGTTTAGCTGCCTTGTTCTCTAGAGTTGAACTTGAATAAATGTTTGTGTTGATCCCACATAGGTGCTGTATATTTTATAACACTTATTTTCTAGGAATTATAAGTTTTAGTAAAATATATAGCTAAAACAAACTTGGAAAGGATCTATTTAATACTTGATATCTAACTAGGTAGTTGTGTTAGTACGATATGCAAATCAAGGAATACTTTTTGTTTGTTTGTTTTTTTGGTGATGGCATTGTGTAAACATGAAACAGTAAAGTGTATAATCAGGCTGGACAGAATTGAAAGTTCTTGTGGGAGGAGTTCTGAGTTCAGATAGAGTGGGGCTAGGTGTTCATAGCTCTGATCAATCTAGAAAAGCTTAAAGGAGGAAGAGAGAGGACTTAGGAGTCGCACAAAGTTGGAGGAGGGTACAGTGACCATAGGGTACCACTTTGAAGTGGTTTAGAAAAGGAAATAATAATAATAGTAATAAATTGCTATTACTAGGTGGGAAAAACTGTTATAAGCACATTATATATATTGTCCATTCAGTTCACATAATAACTATATGAGTTGGAATTATATTATGCCCATTTTATCAGTGAGGCATATACCAAGGTAAAGTAACTTGCCTTAATATCACAGAACTGTTAAGATAGTTTTGACTGCAAAAATCACACTAACTGGGATACTTTACTGCAATGTTACTATTATTTTATCAGCTATGTTACTGATACCTCTAAAAAAAACCTGACTCGTATGAGATGATATGAAACATCGGACAAGAGAGAAATATTCGAAATCCTCAAAGTAAATCTTATACCCTTTAATTTTGTCTGTTTTCTGTACAGTTGTACTCTCAATACGTAGCCTAGTGCCAGATAGTGGGTACTTGAAAACTGCTTGTTATAAATAAATAGTTTTGAAGCAGAAGGTGAGATAATGGACATGATTCAGAGTTTGTTTAGGTGACTTAAAAAGTACTGAATTAGGTTAAGAAATGGAGTAGGAAAAGTGCTGGAGGAAAGTAGTTCTGTAAGGATCAAATTACAATAATCTAGATTAAAAACAACCAGGACCTGAATGTAGGTCTAGGCAACAAGGCAAAAAAGGAGGAGCCTTCATTTATAGAAAGATGAGGAAAGATTTAAGACTCAGTGAGATATGGGACATAAGAGACTGTAAAGGTTTGATTGTAATCCTAGAGTTTCTTTTTTAAGATGTTGCAGTAACAGTAGCTAATGTTTATTGAGTATTTACTAAGTGTCCTGACTATGCTAAATGAATCCCGTGTATTATCTTATTACCTCACAATTCTTATCCTCACAGTAACCCGTATCAGGCTTAGGATATTTATGTACCTGCAGTACAGCTAGGTAGTGGGAAAACTAGTATTCAAAATCTGGTCTGATTCCAAAACCGTGTTATTAATTGTTAGACTGTATCAGCATTGTCTGTTGTGTTATATACATTAGGTTTTGTAGGAATTTTGTAGAGGGGAAAAGGATTCTTAGAAGAAAGACATGTATCTGTCATGTATAGTTTAGGATTAGAGCATCTAGATACAAATACGCTGAAAATCAACTGCTTGTTTTTACTGAAACAAGATGGTAGACATGTAGATTTGTCTGTTAGTTTAGTATCAACAGAAACTGTTTTACTGTGCCAAGTTATATCGGCCAGGATGCTGACACTTGCAAAAGAGATTTGAATATTCTGGATGCCTTAGTTATCACTGTGATCTATGATTTAGGTGACATCCTCACCTGCTGTTTTCATTATATAGCGCAGTTGTCAAGTGCATTGTTTCATAGCAGTTATTTTCAGAGATTTGGCTAGAAGGAGCACAGCCAAGAATGTAGTCATGGCAGTGAACTAGGTGCTGTGCAGAAGAATTCTGGCAGCTGTTAAAAATGTTGTAGAATTTCTTCTCAACTTTGAGGTATTCAATTAAAAAACCTCTCTTTGCTTTAAAGACAAAGAGCCAAGTGCTTATTATGGGATGCTTAAGAATATGGTGTGAAAGTTGCAGAAGTTTTACATGGGCATTTAAAAATTACTAAGAGTTGTTTATGTACTTCATTCACAGCTTTCCTCTAAACCTTGCTGCCCGAACATTCTAAAATTGAAGCCAGGCTTCTAGAACTGTACCTGGGAGCAGGAAACTGACAAAATAGGGAAAAAGGATCAGGTGGCCAGGAGAATCTAGAAAATACAATCACAATATAATCATTTTGTATTATCGTGAAACAAAAGAAAAATTTCTTGCAGACTCAGAATTCTAGGGATTCTACCCAAAACAACCCATTGCCGTCCAGTTGATTCTGGCTCATAGCGACCCTATGGGACAGAGTAGAACTGCCCCGTAGAGTTTCCAAGGAGCGCCTGGTGGATTCGAACTGCCGACCTTTTGGGTAGCAGCTGTAGCACTTAACCACTACGCCACCAGGGTTTCCACTAGGGATTCTAGGAACCTTAAAAGATAGCTGTTATAATCCCCTTTATTCCTTGCAATAACAATGTTGTTAGGTGCTGTCGAGCCCGTTTTAACTCAGTAAGTCTCTTAAAAAGTCAGTGTCTTTAAAAGAAAGAAAAGTGGAGGGAACTGTTCTAGATTTAGAGAGAACAGTCAAATACAGTGCATCTTTATGTGTGCTACATATAGTTTCAAATATAAAATAAAGCACATGGGGGCACAGTTTTGGATACTTACTAGACAAAACCAGACACCTCATGGGATTGGTTTACTAGACTGGGTTTGAAGGCTTAGAACCATAGTCTTGTGGGCCAACTTGGTAAATAGGAACAATATAGTCCATTAAGACAATGTTCTACGTCCTAGTTTGGTGAGTAGTGTCTGGGGTCTTAAAAGCTTGCAAGCGGCCATCTAAGATACAACTATCGGTCTCTACTCATCCGGAGCAAAAGAGAAAGAAGGAAACTGAAGACTCGAAGAAACTAGTCTGCAGAACTAGTAGTCGACACAAACAATGGCCTCACCTAACTTGAGACCAGAAGAACTAGACGGTGCCCAGCTACTACTACTGACTATTCCCACCAGGGACTCAATAAATGGTGCCAAATAGAATGGAAACTCAAATTTCCTAAGACAGAAAGGCCAGACTTACTGGACTGGTAGAGACTGAATGAACCTCCAAGATTATTGTCCTGGGATACCCTTTAAACTTGGAATTTAAACCACTCCCAGAGGTCACCTTTCAGCTAGGTGGCAGATTGGCCCATAAAATAAATAATACTACCTGTGAGTACTGTGCTCCTGTAAAAATCCGGATGAAACCAAAGGGTAAACATTTTCCCTAGAACAAACATGAGAAGGTAAAGGAGAACAGGTATGCTAGATTAAGGGAAAAAGAGCAACCAGAATGGAAATAATGAGAATGCTGATGAATTGTGAAAAATGTAACCAATGTCACTGAACAATATGTATAGAAATTGTTAAATGAAAACCTAATTTGCTGTGTAAACTTGCACCAAAAACACAGTGAAGTATTAAAAAACGAAAACAAATATAATGCATGAACCTAGATTATAATCGGATGGGGTAGGGGAGCCATAAAAGAATTACTGTTAATTCTTTAGATGCTGTTGAAACCCTGGTGGTGTAGTGGTAAGAGCTACGGCTGCTAACCAAAAGGTCTGCAGTTTGAATCCACCAGGCTCCTTGGAAACTCTATTGGGCAGTTCTACTCTGTCCTATAGGGTTGCTGTGAGTTGGAATAGACTCAGTGGCAATGGATTGGGGTTATAAAAGATAATGGACCTTATTCTTAGGAGATAATATGCCAGACGATATAGCAATGAAATTTTATGATGTCTACAGCTTACCAAGTGATTCAGTTCAAACACATACATAAAAACACACAAGCAGTTCTATTCTGTCCAGTAGGGTTGCTGTAAGTCAGAATTGACTTGACAGCACACAACAACAACAATAGAAGAAGGAGTTTGTGGTCCTGAGGTTTGAGGCAAGCTTCAGAATTATATAAGAGTATCAGGGGAGGCCTTATTACTGATATAATAAAAATAATACAAGGGCAAATTATGAAAATAGTTAACATGATTTTTTTTTCTTACAGCTGGGACAGTCAGATGATTTCAGTTCATGAAGCCAAAGCCATTCCGAGGCCTGATGGTATTGAATGGAGAAATAAATACATCTGTATCGAAGGTAGCTTTCTCGAGACCATTCTCTGTTTACCGTTCAATTATCATAATATAGTACCGAGAGGATTTCTTGAGTAATTTCAGTTAAAAGTAATACATTTATAGTTATAAAGTTTTTAATTTTTATAATTTAAAATTCTTCAGTTGTGAGAAAAAAACATGAATTTGGGTATTTAATCTTTCTAGTCGGTAAGATTTGAGCAGTCTATGCATGTCTCATACGTGTGGTTGATTGAAACTTAATTTCATGATATACAGATGGAAGAAAATATAATCTTCATTAATTATTCTTATATTAAATAAAATGAGTTCTCTTATACTTAAAATATTGATACATATTGCAAGCTAGGTTTTTGTGAATAGGGCTTGATGTTACCTTAAAAATTAAATGATCTGAAGATATTCTGTTCTCTAAAATTAATTTACATGTTGTTGAATATATCTGAGACATTTTCTTTGAGTCATTGGGAAACTGATTTAAAACTGATACAAGAGACAATATTTAAAGTTGTTCTCACAGATACCAGTTTAAAGAAAAACCTTTGTAAATCTTGAGGTAATAAAGAATAAAGGGTTGAAAGTCAGTATTTGTAGGAAACATCAGATTTAGAATATTTTAATCTTGGATTATATGCAACATCAGCTTCAAAGTTTGTGAATAATAAAATTAAATCTCCTGCTTTGGTGTTTGGTTTGCTAAATTGCACAGTGGGTGTATATTATTTTAGTTACTTGTGTTCTTTTGATAGTCATTGCTGACTTGTACTGTGTGTGATACAGTCTGGTACAGTTTGTCATATGGTCTTATTCTGTGAAAAATAATAGTACTGTGACAATAAATTTATTTTTTTAAATAGGCTTTCTAAACGAAACAAATAAAAGCAGTGTTTCAAATTCTGGGCCTGCTTAGATTATATGGCAAATGTAAAGTTATCCTCTCCCTCAGGTGTCCTATACTTTACATGTTTTTTCAGATTCTTTCCCCGCAGAGTTACGTTTGCTCTTTCAAGCAACTTTAGTCTTTCCAGTTCTTCCCTTGTAGTCTTTGGGCATGCATAGATCTTTTCATTCTTGAAGAAATACTCTTCACTTGACCCTAGTAGCTCCTCTATTGACTGTAGAATTTTTTCCCCTTTTCATTGCCAAAATTCTTAAACTCCAGTAATTTTTACCTACTACTGTCATTATTTCAGCAATCCCATCTTACTCCTTATTCCTTTAGTAATCCTCCTTTTCTCACTATTACCTTCAGTTTCCTTCTTCTTATTTCTTCCATTCTGTCTCTATATATGGACTCCTCTCTTGTCTTGTGGGTGGAGAGTTAGTAGTGCGGGGATATAGATGTGGAAGCTGGATATGTTGGGGACACAAACACACAAAACCCTCTTTTGTCTTCATCTTGTCTTCTCTCTTTGCTATTGTTTTTCCTCTTTCACTGCCAAATTTCTCATATAAATTACTGTTGTGACTGTGTCTTTTTCTAAACCATCCACTCATACTTAACTCTGTGCACTGTCTCCATCCTTACTAGTATTGAACCTTTACTTTCAAAGGTTAGTGTTGATCTCCCTCCTGACATATCAGTGATATTTTTAGCTTCATTGGTCTTTATCTTTCTGTGATATTTGACATTGACCATCTCTTTTAGATATACTACTTTTTTTTTTTTGATAACTCTTTACTTTTATTTCCACAAGGGTAGGTCCTTGACCCTCTGTCTACCTCTGTAATTCTTCAGAAATCTTAATTCACTTTTATGATTTAGACTTAATATAGCTATGCTGTGAACTTTTCTTTTTAGTCATCCTCTCACTTGAATCCCATCTACCTTATTAGGCATTTCATAGCTCTATTAAACTATATTCTATATGCACAAATCTAATAAGGTATTAGGCTGATGCATATGAAATTGCTGTTTTTGTAGGTCAAAAACTGTCAGATATCAATAATTTCTTATAGTTTAGCTTAATAAGGAAACTTAAGTTCTTACTTAAATAATTTCTTCTTTATATTTGCATTTAACATTGCAGAACCTTTTGATGGAAAGAATACAGCCAGAGCTGTGCATGAAAAACAGAAGTTTGATATGATCAAGGATCAATTTTTAAAGGTAAACAGTGCATCAGATTAACTCTAGAAATACTTTTCTTAGGTGTCTAAAATGAAAAATAAGTAAAAACTTAGTGGATGAGTATGCTTTAAAAATGAAAAGAACATATATAATAGGACAGAATCGTCCGGGTTCCTATGTTGTGAGCCACTAATGTAACACTAGGGAATTTATTACAGAGAGATCTGGGTCTGTTTTCATTCATATAGCTTTCACTTTTCTTGGAAATAAGCATTTTTATAGTGAGCTTAAACTCTAAAAAAGAGTGAATAAAACTTAGTAGATTCTTTTCCCTCCTTAAAACATTGTGGAACTTACTATAACTTTAGAAGGAAGCTGTTATTTATTCTACACATTTTCTTCTGCGTACCCCATTTTAACAAGGTACTAGAGTACCATTTTTTCTTTATATTTTGAAAAGTTAAAACAGTGTGTGTTTATTCCTTAGGTCTGTAGTCCACAGTGAGAATTTATTCATCAATGGTTTTGCTAAAAGTGGTCTCTGTCTTCAAGGGCTTCCACAATACAGTGTGTAAACGCATTGATAGAAATATGTACTGTGAGGCATATAGGAAGGACAGCTTCATAGAAATGAAAAGATCAGAGAATTGTAAAGAGATCAGATTATTTTTAAAAGGACAAAATGTAATTTTAGAGGCTTTTATTTCATTACTTAGACAAACATGTAGACTTTAATTTGATGAAAATTAAAAATACAAGTGTATTATATTAATGTGCCGTCCTTCAGTTAGGCCCTCAGTTTGTCAACCAAAATAGAAAATTTGATCTGCATAATTCTTTTCACTTTAAAACAGGTATCTAAGAGGGAATATTTTTGTCTATCAGATTAAATTTGAGAACTCCAAAATAACATTGGTATATTACTGTTCTTATTGATGGGTGAGCTTTCATTTAGGATTGTCTAGCTGTAAAACTGGTACTTTTAGTCAGTTGAACAACTGAAGTGAGAACAAAGTACAAAGATCTGCAGCCACCAGGTAGTGAGTCAGATTTTTAAGCTTGTAAATCAGAATTCCAGTTTCTTCCTTTCTTTTTGTAAATTCTGTTTACTCTAAAGTGCTTTATTATAGATTATTCTGTCCTTCATAAATAATATTTTTTAATTGAAAAACTTAGTAAAGACTGAAAATTTTACTTCCTAGATAAAACCGCTGGTAACATTCTAGTGGCTCTCCTTTTGGTCTTTTGTTCTGCGTATATTTTAGGTTTTAAGAATTACTTTTCTTTTTCTCCCAGTCATGGCAAAGATTGCAAAACAAGAGAGATTTGAACAGTATACTACCTTTAAGAGCTGCTATCCTGAAAAGATAACTGGCCTCTGTTTCTTAAATTCTTCTGAGAAATAAAGAACAGTAGTAACACAATGCATTTTGTTTACCTCTGTCATGGCTTCTTTTAAATTGTTCTTTTTGTTTCCATGTTTTATTTTTAAAAGGACATACTTACATAAAGATTATATATTTTATTATGACATTTCCTAATAAACTTTTTGGTTTAAAAATGTATTTTTGAAAATGTTTACATTTATGATTGGTAATGTTACGACATGAGTTATCAGATCAGATAAAATATTTTGGAGGGAATTAACCTGAACAAATCAAAGGTTTTTGATATAACTTCAGTAAGTTGTCCCACATGCTAACACTGAAGAGATTAGTGGAATTTTAGAAAAGGTCTGATTCATACATGCTTAAAATGTAACCTACAGTAGATAATGTGTTGTCGAAGTCTGTTCTAGTAAAGTGAAGATTCAAGTCAGTTATTCAGTTACTTGAAGCAAAAAGAAATCTTTTATTTCAGTTCACATTTCTGTGAAATCACTGCGGAAGCGTGAAATACTGGACAATTGCCTTCAGTCTTCACTTGACTCGCTGGGATAGACTGAGGCTTGAGGCTTTGGGTGTGTCTCTATTAGCATTTCATTCATACCTCACAGGTTTTTGATGTACTTTTGAGATTGCTTTAAATTTTGTGTTAAAACAATAAAACATTTTGCACTGTAGTAATATGAGTGCTAACTCTGTATTGTACAGCAGTTAGTGAATTGTTTTGAAGAATTCAGTGTAGACAGTCTGAAAAGATTAAGTCCCCTGTACTTTATAATAGCTTAGTGCAGTGTGCACTTTTGCTTTACTTTGTGTTTTCCTGCTTTTATTTTCCTGTGACATGAAGCACCAGAAACTGAAAGATCAGAGTTAAGATTATATCCTATTTATAGTATCAGATTTTTTTTCTGTGTACAACTGTAGGATTGTAATCTAAACTGGAATTTTTAGGCAGTAAGCCACTACAGAATGTTTTAAATGAGACATAACAAAATTATAAATAAAAGCTTAATGTTTGTAAAGATATCTTTTTTAGTATTTCTTTTCCACATAGTGGTGGCTGCTAAGAAGGCTACAATGTTTATTAAGGTTGCTTTTGATTTATGTAAATATTTGTAAATTGGTCAGTGCCTGTAAATTTAAATATAAAAGTAATCTTGAAACCAGTTTTAATTTTTTCAGAAAGACTGTGTACAACTCTTTTAGACCTGCTGTAGCACAGTTTGTACCTCTAATGTATATGTTTTTTGCAGATCACTTCAAATGCTAAAACTTTTGCTTTTCTTTGACTTGTAAAAGGTGCATATTTTCATTTTCTTCTTTAAGTTTAAATTTTTGTATGATGTTAAATGAAATAAAGTTTATATATGGAAATTGTTGAGTTTTTTTTTTTCTGTTAAAGCCTGTTTTTAATATGAGATTGAGGCTGTAGTTATCATCTAGAACTGAACTGAGTTCAGTAATTATGCTTGATTATTTAGATTATACAGAGAATCTTGGAATCGAGTTCATTCTTGATAAAACCAGCTAACCACATTAACACCTTTTTATCTGGCATTATTAGGAATGAAGCTTTCCATGTAGGTGAATTTTTAAGATTGCTGATGCTGAACACTTTAAAAGCAAGCTTTTTATATTAATTCTTTTTCTTGAAACTTTTCCTAAAATGAATTATATACTATTTAAGCCTTCTTAATCAGAATGTATTGAGTATAATTAACATTCTAGTGATGATTGCAGAAAATCATTATGAACAATAAATAATAGTCATAGTTGTTGTTGTTAGATGCTGTCGTGTCTGTTCCAACTCATGTACAACAACGAAGCACTGCCCAGTCCTGCACCATCCTCACAGTCGTTGCTATGTTTGAGCCCATTGTTTCAGCCACTTTGTCAACCCATCTCTTCCTCTTCTTTTTTGCTGACCCTCTACTTTATCAAGCATAATGTCCTTCTCCAGGGACTGGTCCCTCCTGATAACATGTCCAGAGTAAGTAAGATGAAGTCTCGCCATCCTCACTTCTAAGGAGCATTCTGGCTATACTTCTTCCAAGATAGATTTGTTCCTTCTTCTGGCAGTCCATGGTATATTCATTATTCTTCGCCAACACCGTAATTCAGAGGCATCAATTCTTCTTCAGTCTTGCTTATTCATTGTGCAGTTTCTGCATGCATAAGAGGCAATTGAAAATACCCTGGCTTGGGTCAAGTGCACCTTAGTCCTCAAAATGACATCTGTGCTTTTAAACACTTTAAAGAGGTCTTTTGCAGCAGATTTGCCCAGTGGAGTACATCATTTGATTTCTTGACTGCTCCTTCCATGGGCATTGACTGTGGGGTCCAAGTAAAATGAAATCCTTGAGAATTTTGATCTTCTCCCATTTATGATGATGTTGCTTATTGGTCCAGTTGTGAGGATTTTTGTTTTCTTTGAGGTGTAATCCATACTGAAGACTGTGGTGTTTGGTCTTCATCAGTAAGTGCTTCAAGTCTTATTCACTTTCAGCAAACAAGGTTGTTAATGAGTCTTCCTCCAAACCTGATACTCCATTCTTCTTCATATAGTCCAGCTTCTCAGATTATTTGCTCAGTATATAGGTCGAGTAAGTATTGTGAAAGGATACAACCCTCATGCACACTTTTCCTGATTTTAAAACACGCGGTATGCCCTTGTTTTGTTCGAACGAGTGCCTCTTGATCTATGTACAGGTTCTTTATGAGCACAATTAAGTATTCTGGAATTCCCATTCTTTGCAATGCTAGCCATAATTTGTTATGATCCCCACAGTTGAATGCCTTTGCATAGTCAGTAAAACATAGGTAAACATTTTTCTGGTGTTCTCTGCTTTCAGCCAAGATCCATCTAACATCAGTAATGTTATCCCTCATTTCATATCCTCTTCTGAATCCAGCTTGAATTTCTGACAATTCCCTGTCGAGGTACTGCTGTAACCTTTTTTATAAAAAATTTTTTTATTGTGCATTAGGTGAAAGTTTACAGAGCAAGTTAGTTTCCCATTCTGTAGTTTGTACATAAAGTGTATGGCGTTGATTTTATTCCCCACAGCGTGTCAGCACTCTCCCCATTTCCTTCCTAGGTTCCCTGTTTCCTTTAGTCCCGATTTTCTTCCCCTTCCTGTCTTCTTATCTTTGCTTTTGGGCAGATGTTGCCCTTTTGATCTCGTATAATTCATTGTTTTAAGGGTCATGTTAATGTTGGATGTTATTGTTTATTTTATAGGCCAATCTGTGGTTTGGTTAAAAGGTGGTCTCTGGGAATGGCTTCAGTTCCAGTTCAGAAGGGTATCTTAGGGTAATAGTCTGTCAGACCAGTAAGTCTGGCATTTTTTTGTGAATTTGATTTTTTTGTTCTACAGTTTTTCTCCTGCTTTGTCCTGGGCCCTCTGTTGTGATCTTAGAGCGGTCAGTATTGGTAGTCAGGCACCATCTAGTTCTTCTGATCTTGGGGTTGCGTCTGCTGGGTTCATGTGGTCCATTAGTCCTTTGGACTTATTGCTCCCTGGAGTCTTTGGTTATTTTTACTCTCCTTTGCTCTGGACCGTAAGAGACCAATAGCTCTATTGTAGGTGGCTGTTGGCAAGCTTTTTTTTTTTTTTTTTTAAAAAAAGAATAAGGTAGAACACCTTTTTGTGTGTTTATTATTTGAATTTTCTCTTTTGTGAAATTCCTGTTCAAGTATCTTCCCAATTTTTTAAAACTGGGTTACCTTTTCTTATTGATTAGTAAGATTTCTTTATATATTCTAGAAATGTTTCAAATAACTTCCCCTCTCTGAGGCTAGTCTTTTCATTCTCTTAGGTTATCTTGTAATCAATAGAAGTTTTATCCATTTATCAATATTTTCCTTTCTAGTTAGTGTTTTTTGTGTCTTCCTTAAAATTACCTATTGTGTTTTCATGTTGGGATTCTACTATGTTTTCTTTTAAGTGCTTTGTTGTTTTGCCATTTATATTTAGTTTTGCTTTCTTTCCAGAATTTTTTTTTTTGTGTATGGTGTGAGAAAATAGTCAAACTTTATTTTTTTAACAGATGATCAGTACATATGAAACCATGTAGTTTATCTTGATTTGGAATACTCTGACAGTGAAAAGCGATGCAACAAGTAATTACACTGGAACAAACTGTGTAAAGTGGAACTGTCTTAGGCAAACAGGACATGTAATTATCATAGCAATTGTCCTAGCACCCCGTAATCAAAAGACTCGTTATTTAGCAGCACCACATTCGTCATAAATTATCTGTATATGTATAATTTTGGTTCATATCTATATATCCTTGTTTCACTGCTATGCCACATAATTACTGTCACTTTTTTTTTAAATTGTGCTTTACATGAAGGTTTACAGAGCAAATTAGTTTCTCATTAAACGATTAATACACATTGTTTTGTGACATTGGTTGCCAACCCTGTGACGTTTCAACACTCTCCCCTTCTCAACTTTGGGTTCCCCATTTCCATTCATCCAGCTTTCCTGTCTCCTCCTGCTTTCTCGTCATTGCCCCTGGGCTGGTGTGCCCATTAAAGTCTTGCTTTGTTTTATGGGCCTGTCTAATCTTTGGCTGAAGGGTGAACCTCAGGAGTGACCTCAATACTGAGTTAAAAGGGTGTCTGGGGCCGTACTCTCAGGGTTTCTCCAGTCTCCGTCAGACCAGTAAGTCTGGTCTTTTTTTGTGAGTTAGAATTTTGTTCTACATTTTTCTTCATCTCTGTGCGGGACTTTCTATTGTAATCCCTGTCAGAGTAGCCGGTGGTGGTAGCCAGGCACCATCTAGTTGTGCTGGACTCAGTCTGGTGGAGACTTTGGTAGTTGTGGCCCATTAGTCATTTGGACTAACCTTTCCCTTGTGTTTTTGTTTTTTTTCATTCTCCCTTGCTCCAGACAGGGAGCTCACAAGCTTTTAAGACCCCGGATGCTACTCACCAAAGTAGGATGCAGAACTTTGTCTTTACGAACTAGATTGTGCCACGTGACTTAGTCTATGGTCCTTCTACTTTGAGCCTAGGAACTTCGTGCCACAAGGTGTTTGGCTATGTCTTAAGAAGTTGCCCTGACTATGGCCCTCGTGTGCTCTATTGTCTATATTAATATATAAGCATCACCTACAATTACGTATGTAGAAGTGTATACCACCAAAGCTATATCTGCAGGTGGGTGTGTCGCCATACACCCTCCCACACCTCTTGGCATATGTATCAACCTATATATCCATTAGTAAATTAGTGTTTGTTAATACTGTTGTTGCAGGATTGTCTATGCTGTAGTAGTTACCTTTGTTGCCCTTTGTTCTTGCATTCCTCTGAGTGTTCTCCCGTGTCTTGGTCATGTTTTGCTGACTTCCCCATATTGTGTATTGCCTTTCCCTTCACCAGTATTAACACGTATCTTCTATTTGGTAATTTTCCCTCCCTCCCCCTCCCATCCCTGGTAACCATCAAAGAATTTTTTTTTCCTGTGTCTAAACCTTGTTTCTTTATAATAGTGGTCTCGTACAATATTTGTCCTTTTGTGATTGACTTATTTCACTCAGCATAATGCCTTCCAAGTTTGTCCATGTTGTGAGATGTTGTATGGATTCGTCGTTATTCTTTATCCTTTGGTAGTCTTCCATTGTGTGTGTGTACCACAGTTTATTAACCCATTTGTCTGTTGGTAGGCATTTAGGTTGTTTCCATCTTTTTGCTGTTGTGAATAATGGTGTAGTGAACATGGGTGTGCCTATGTCTGTTCATGTCACAACTCTTATTTCTTTAAGGTATATACCTAGAAGTGGGATTACTGGGTCATGTGGTATTTCTGTGTCCAGCTTTTTAAGGAAGCAGCATACCATTTTCCATAGTGCTTGTACCATGTTACCTTCCCACCAGCAGTGTTTATAGAGTTCCAGTCTCCCCACAACTTCTCCAACATTTGTTATTTTCTGTTTTTTGATTAGTGCCAGTAATGTTGGGGTGAGATGACATCTTATTGTCGTTCTGATTTGCATATCTCCCGTGGCTAATGATCATGAGCATTTCTTCATGTGGTTATGCCATCTGAATGTGCTCTTCTTCAGTGAAGTGTCTGTTCATATCCTTTGCCCATTTTTTAATTGGATTGTTTATCTTTTTGTTGTTGAGGTGTTGAAGTTTTCTATAAATTTTAGAGATTAGGCCCTTGTTGGATATGTCATAGCCAAAATTTTTTTGTCTGTAGGTTCTCTAATTACTCTTTTGGAGAAATCTTTTGATAAGCATTAAGTGTTTAATTTTTAGGAGGTCCCATTTATCTAGTTTATCTTCTGCTATGTGTGCATTTTTAGCTATCTTTGGTATTCTATTTATGCCATATATTAGGGCCTCTGGTGAAAGGTTGGCAGT